ATATATATATATATATATAATTTATTTATTTATTTATTTATTTATTTATTTATTTTAAGAGTACAGTAGTCCCTCGCTACTTCACGGTTCGTTTTTCGTGGACTCGCTGTATTGCAGTTTTTCAAAATGAGATTGGACATGACACACAATTGGCTGAATGATGGATGAGCCACATGATCGGCATGGAATTTTTATTTAAAATTAAAATTATTTAGCACCTGCTGCACCTGTGTGCAGCCACAGCTGCAGCAGGAGAAGCTCCTTCCTGCTGCGTGTCAACTGCAGCGGAGAAGTGGGCGTGGCCGAGAGTGGAGATCATGACATGCTGTGCTCTTTTAGAGCGTTTAGAGTTTAGAATCATTGTTGGGGACATTGCCAGAGTGTGGGCAGGGTTTAAAACGCCTTAAATATACCTGTATATAAATACTAAAATTAACTACTACTACTTGTGTACTTAATTTCATTCCATCTCATATACCACATGAGATGGTAATGACAATAAAGTTTACTTGAACTTGGACTACTGTATCCCTACTTCACGGTTTTTCACTTATTGCAGGGGTTGGGGGGAGGCATGGTCCCAAACCCCCACGATAAACGAGGGACTAGTGTATTTACTTTAACCATTTCTGTATTTACACATCGTGACTAAAATGACTCGTATGAAAACTGTTTAGGTGAACAAGAAGTGTGACGAAGCCCGCCAAGAGAAAGAAGCCATGGTAATGAAATATGTGCGGGGAGAGAAGGAGGCCCTTGACCTGAGGCGGGACAAAGAGGGTTTGGAGAAGAGGCTTAGAGAAGCCCTCAAGGAAGTGGATCGCCAGGCTCTCCGAGGGAATCAGCTGGCTCAGGAGAAAGGCCGGTTGCAACAGCTGTATGATGCTAAGGTAAATGAAATGTGAAACATTTGGAACTGTTTTTTTGCTTCATCTATTATCAAAATGCTATCATGTGATCAGCTTTAGTCAGTATTTGCATGCGTGTGTTTTTAACTTTGTGCAGTGTGCTTAATCTTGTGAACAAAATGCCATTTGTCCTTCAACATCAGGAAATGCACATATGTGCTATAAAATTATGTAAAATTAGTGTTGGGGCTTTTTGGTAATTTTATTATAGATGAAATCATCATTTAATTTTTCTGGCTTCCTTTCTGCCCCTTGTGTTCGTAGGAAGGCGAGGTTGGCAGGTTGATGCGAGAGGTAGAAAAGTTAAAGGAGGAGATCAACTCTCATCTTATCAAAGTCAAATGGGCCCAGAACAAACTGAAGAGTGAAGCAGATGCTCATAAGGTAATGTAACTGATTTTTATGTTGTATTTGTGTTTGTATTGTTCTCCTACAGAAGAAACGAATGAGTATACTGTACATCCAGTTGGACCAAAATATCACTTTTCAATTTTGTTATCTGTTGATGATTATTTTGCCTCTAATGGTTTTAATCTTATAGAAAATATGTCTCTAAAATAAGTATTTTGTTTTTATAATGTGTATATGTGTCTTTTCAGTTTAAACGTCCTTTCGGGCATGATTCTAGTTTTGCTAAATGTCCGCAGGGATTTTCTCTTATCTTTCAGAGACAACATCGTTGTTTTATTTTGGAAGAGTTTGTTACTTTTCCTTTATCTGTTACATTTGTGATTTAAATTTATTATTTGGTGACATAAGGTTGTCCACCAGGTTACTGTTTCTTAAAATCTTACAAGATAGGATTTTGGCATTGTGCTTCATAAGGGTGGGAGTTAAAATCTGCAGTTCATTGTCAAAAATTTTAATTATTAATCTTTTTTTTTATGAGTTAGTAGTTGTGCTGTTTGTCCTAGTAGAGTTACCGTAGATGAGCTCTACGTTGGTGTATAAATGACACCCTTCTTCAATAATTTTTTTATTCTGAAGTCAGACACTCCATAAAATAACATGATGATTATCACTGAGGAATGAAATTAAATGAACTCAGAATGGCACAGTAATGAACCTCCAAGGAAAGCATCATTATCATTTTGTCTGTTTTTGAAAATAATGGCTTTACTTTTAACAGCCTCCAAGCAAATAAACAACTATAAACAAAAGAATGGAGCAAAAGTCAGCAGTTGCTGAAGGCCACAGAAGTTTAGCTGCAAATTATTTAGCAGAAGTTTGTGCGGTTGTTGGAACATTTGCAAAGAATGGTTGGGAAACGATAACGGAATAAACAAACGAGCAAAGATCCTTGAATTTTGCTTTATTCTCGAATTCCTGCAGTCTTCTTCTCTTCAGTGTCACTTACAAAAGCTTGTTTATATGTATCTGTGTGCAGGAAACTAAAGACAAATTGAGAGAAACGACATCCAAGTTGGCTCAGGCCAAAGAGGAGACAGAGCAGATCCGGAAAAATTGCCAAGACATGATCCGAACGTACCAGGTTTGTCATATTTTCATGCTGGAAACAAAAGTTTATTCATGACCATAGATGAATGTAGATAATGACTGCACATCCTCTGTGTGTTTGGGTTTTCTCCTTCGACTAATACCATTGTACCATACCACTAATACCATTATTATTGTGCTTTGTAACACACTAATAATTTATAAGCTTGTTTTTTTATAGACTGTATGCATATTGGTAATTTTAATATGTAACACTTTGTCTCAACAACATTATAAGGAGGGAAAATGCTGCTCTGTGAGAAAAGCTGAATTGTCTAGGATTTATTTAGACTTTTGGAGTAAGGAGGCAGTTTTCATGCGTTACCTTATGATGGTAGTATAGAGCTGCGTTATTTTTTTCTCTTGTAGAGCGATCAGCTTAAGCTGCCATTTCCTGTCATCAGCAGTGTTTTCTATCGCAGCAAGGATAAATATGTTGTGATTTATTACAGGAAAATAATAAAAATGAGTGGAATAAGCCTCACAAAAATAAACCCCCTTTTCTTTTTCATATCTATCATCTTTATGTTTTATTTTTGTTTACTATAGTTTCAGACAATGCATTGTCCATCATCTTCCTCCTCACGTTCCTAAATCTGTGACTCATCTCTCCATTAGGAATCGGAGGAGCTCAGGTCCAACGAACTGGATGCTAAACTGAAAGAGACCAAAGGAGAGTTGGAGAAACACAAGCAGGAACAAACGGACCAATTGGAGGTGACACCCTTCATTTTATTCTGCAGCCTTTTCCTGTCAAAGCCAAATCAGATGAACTATATACTGCATTTATTCCAGTCTGCCCTTCAAGTTCAAGAATCATTATTATCCCAAAGGGGCAATTTGTTTCACAGTCCATAGACGTATAACATTCATACTTGACAAGACATTAAAGCACTAAAATAACATTACAAAACAAATCACCACTGTTCATTTTGAAGCCTGATCGCTACAGGGATAAATGAGTTTTTCAGTTTGTTCATCCTGCACCCAGACAACGGATACCTGTGTGCAGATAGAAGCAACCTGAACTCACCATGGAGTGGATGATCAGGATCTGCCAGAATCAGCCTGGTCTTGTTCACTGACCTCGCCTTGTGTAGGTCCGTGAGGTTCTGTAGGACTATGTCAGCAGTTTTGGTGCACATCCTGACAATCCCCGAGAGTTTGTTCCTGTTCTTACATGTTAAAAAAACAAACGTACAGATAAAGGTGAAAGTTAATGGAGACTTGATAAAACACTAATAAAATATGTTTAAAACATTTTATATGGCAATACAAATAATATGGGGCATTAACATGTTCAGTTATTGTATAAGTAGTAAATTAAAGGATAAATCAAACAAGCTGTGGAGAAAACAACTAGAGCAGATTTATATATTTATTTATTTTGGTGTGAAGCACCTTAAAATCTATCTGTTAAAGGTGTTATTTAAAAAAACATTTTTTTTTTTTTATTTTATTTTTTTTTTTTTTTACTCATATTTACTATTAAAAACATTTATTTGTCAAATAATACTGTAGCTGTATGTGATTATAATGGAGAAACCAAGAGTAGCAGAACCGTTCACATCACCATCAGCATGCTCTTCAATTATACTTGATTTTCACTTGATTTAAATTTGGTGTTATAGTTGTACAGATTTTTATATTTTTCTTAATTGTTTACAGATTGTATCTTAGGCAGCTCATTTTGAATCCTGGTTTAAATGTTGTTCCTCCAGTCTATTGTGTGTATTTCTTGATGGTTTTACTCCTGAAGTGAAGTCTTTATTTTTTTTCAGCTGTTTTCTGAGGTTTAACTCCGGGTCTGATTCAGACTTCCTCAGAAGCTCTGCAGGCAGACATTCATTCACAACTGGACTCGGTTCAAACACTGTGGCCTGTTTTTCTCAGCGCTACACTCTAACGGGAATAAGACTTAAAAATAAATGCCCTAGAAGTAATCAATATTAGGCTGGGTGTTTTGAATAAAACCCAGCAGACATCACCCACTTACATTTATTCCTGGGTGTGGTTAGTTTTTTGTTTTTTTTTTCAGCTTAATCACAAGTAGAAGTTTTTTTGTGTAATTTATTTTCTTTCATCAGATTTTCTGCTATCCCATAAACTTTCCCTCCACTGATACCTAGCTTGTTGCCACCCAGAGAGCGTTCAGCTAGGTTTTTATTTTTTTAAGGCTGGTTTTAGCGTTGATCTTGATTTTTGGCCCGTGTCCCTTCCCTGCTGTTGGCTACGTCAGTGCAGGACTACGTTTGCTTTATTATGAATGTTATGCACACATGATAATGCAACTAAATAATAAATTATGCAAAACAACAGTTTTCATTACTGTTGGGGTGATTGAATTTAGATTGGAAGCAAAGGGATGAATAAAGGAAATAGAATTCAGCAGCATCTCCCATTACCGCCGTGCTGTCTTGGATACCAAGTGCCTGTTAATGACTTCTTGGAAAAGTGAACTAGCAGTAGCGTCAATAATGGTTTGTTTTAACAAAAAATGTGACAAAACATGTCAAAACCATATTTTAGTTTTCCACACAGGAACTTTAACAAAGGCAACAGTTGGGTTTCCCTGAAATTAGATGCTGTCTTTCCTTTTAAATAAGTGGGATGGAGGAATAAATTTGTGATTAAACCTGCTGAACTTGAATTACTCCAAACTGAAGGTGCACGGTGCATATACATTTCAAGTAGTAAACTCTAAATGTCTGGCAGATGCTCCAAACAAAGGCTAAAGAGCTGGAGGAACTAAAGAAGACGTACAAAGAAAGCATGGTTGAGCTTGATACTCTTCGCACCAAGGTTTGTCTGTCAGATCAACGCTTAAGCTTCTTCTATACTCAAGTGTTTTCCCTGTTCAGCAAGAAATTCTGTTTGTCTTGTAGTTAAAGTGTCTGGAGGACGAGCGTCCACGTTGGGAGGATGAGCTGAGCAAATACAGGGAGATCATTAACCGACAGAAGGCAGAGATTGGTCGCCAGAGAGAAAAACTCGAAGAGGTCACTGAGCTTCAGGAGCAGCATCAACGGTACGACTACACAAAGTGACAATTGGCAAAAGTTTTCTAGCTAAATCGCCCATCCTTAGAAAGAAACTACTCCTTTTTAACAAGAAGAAACCTCCAGCAGAACCAAACAAATCCGTAGCCTTAAAGTGAAATGTGCATTGTTAGGAAAACACAGAACAATTAAAACATACTGGAACTTTGAACACATTTTATCTTTACTTTAGCTTTAGTGTTCAGACTTAGGCCTGGTAAATATAACAAACAGGACATAAAGGCACACATTTACTCACATCCTTGAGTAAATGTGTGCCTCTGCTGGCCATGGGAAGATTTTAACAGAGGAAAGGTCCAAGGCAGTGAGGTGTCATTAATTGTGTGTGTTTTCTGTTAGTAAGTGGTCAAACCAGTAACAGTTCATATATAATCAACTTCTCACGTCAGACAGCAGGATGTTTAAGTTTTTAACAAGGGAAAAAATAGTCATTCTAACGTTTCTTTAAGTGTCCAGGAAAAAACTTGATGAAAGTTTCTAACATTGTGCTTCATTATGGCATGTTTTTTTAGATAACTAGAATGTGATTCAGCCTTAAAGATTCATATTCACACACATAAATGAATATTGTGTTATATTTAACTATTATCTCCTTTGCAAATTTATCAAAAGCATTTTATTATATATATATATTTTTTTTACTTCACAGAAATATTTTGACAATATATTTCATCCTATTTTCTGTATACAGCGACAAACAGGAGCTCACGTCTCTTCAGGAGGAAGTGGATGGCCTGACCAGTCAGATAGCGGACCTCCAGCGTGACGTTCAAGGCAGCAGGGAACGGGAAGCTGAGCTACTCGGCTTCACAGAGAAGCTGAGCAGCAAGAACGCCCAGCTGCAGTCGGAGAGCAATGCGCTGCAGTCTCAGCTGGATCAGGTCACCGTCAACTTCACCAAACTCCAAGTGAAGCTGGAGGAGACCAGCAGGCTGCTGGATGACAAGGTCAGATGTTCTCTGAAGCACAGCAAGACACTTTGCTCTTTAACGAGTTAAAGTAAATCTCTTGATTTATACTAGCTGCACACAAAAGTTAGAAGGTATTATTGTCGGAACATTTATTTTGGATTTAATGTTATATGATTATTATATTATCCTAAGTCTTTGTTATCCTGCTGATTTTGTTAATTGTGCAGTCACGGCAGCTGAAACAGGAGGAGGCCCAGAAGCAGCAGGAGGTGCAGGGTCTGCAGGAGGAGCGGGTAGCTCTGCAGACTGAAGTGGCCCAACTAAAAACCAGAGTGGAGGAGCTGAGGGATGAGCTGGTGACTCAGAAACGGAAGCAAGCAGCTAATATCAAAGACTTAACAAAACAACTAACACAAGGTTGGACACCAATATGTAAATTTCTAATGCTTGTTTTTTCATATTCCTTATAAAACTGCACTTCATTGTTGTCATTTAATGCCGCTTCCTCCTAACATTTACTTATGCAAGCTTCTCACTTTAACTTTTTGGAAATAGTTTTTCTGTTGGCTAACTAAATATAAAAAAATTTTTCAGTGTTGCAGCTTATTTTCTCAGTCGCCATGCACAAGTGTGCACAACACTTATGCTCGAACATATTCTGGGTTTTAGTGCATGTGTGAAAGCTGTTGTGGATTTGTTGATATCGTATGATTTGGTTATTTTTCCTCCACAGCTCATAAGAGACTGGAGCAGGTTGAGAATGGAGGGTGTGACCGAGACGCCAGCAGCATGGGCAGTCGCTCCAGTTCCTCAGGTACTGCTCTGAGATTTGGTTAGTATTCCACACCTGATATATAAAAAAATTTGATTAGGTTTTTAGTAATCATCATATTTAAGGATGTATATTTTGCTTTGTAATGTAAAATAACCCCCAAAAATTGCATTATTCTTTGGAAGGCAGAGAGCACACAGGAAGTTGTCACAAAACCACAACAGTCACCTGTTTTCTAGGTTAATCTCTGTTTTATTCCCTCCACTCTCCAGGTTCTTTGAACGCACGCCATGGTGGGAGCAATAGTGTTGAAGAACGGTCACCAGAGAGCCAGTCGGGTCCCTCTGTGACGGTTGTAGACAGCTTCCCGGAGGTGGACAAAGCTGTGCTGGTAGAGCGCATAGTCCGTCTGCAGAAAGCTCTTGCGCGAAAGCAGGAGAAAATCGAGTTCATGGAGGATCACATCAAGCAACTGGTGGAAGAGATCCGAAAGAAGACAAAGTGAGTGGCACGTTTCAATGAAGGAATGAAACGATTTTTTTCTCAAACAATACTGCTAAACAGAAAACAGGTGATGTAATCAGCTGTGCTGCCAGACCCCACAGCTTTTTATTATAACATAAGTGTGGGTTTAAAGGCAGGAACCCTGGAAACTTTTCCTGTGATCTTCCTTTTGAAAACTAACAACCCTTCTGTGTGATAACATCAGCAGTCACTCCTGGGCAGCACTGGACTGGCAAGTTTTAGCAGCGAGGTTTAAAGTCGGATTAAAAGTCTGCGTTTCTTTCTTAAACATGAACATAATTCTTGACATCTGGTTTTTAGCAATTTGATGATACAGTAGACCCTCGTTTATCGCGGGGGATCCGTACCCTGAAGCCCCGCGATAAGTGGAGAAACCACGAAGTAGGACTCTTGCAATATTCTAAACAATGTTTCTAAACGCTCTAAAAGAGCGCAGAATGTCATGATTTCAGCTCCCTGCCTCCTCTGCTTTTTGCCACCTGCAAGCGTTCTTGGCCACGCCCACTTCTCTGCTCTGCACAGAGAACAGCTGATCAGCTGCAGGAGGAAGCTTCTCCTGTAGTATGGGCTGCACAAAGGTGCAGAAGGTGCTCGATAATTCATTTTAAATAAAAAAATTCCATGCATATCGTGCAGCTCATCCATCAATCAGCCGTTGTGTGTCATGTCCAGTCTTATTTTGAAAAACCGCGATAGAGCGAGTCCGCGATAAACGAGTCGCGAAGTAGCGAGGGACTACTGTATTTCATTTTAACTGCTAATTAGTTATATTTTACTGCTAACTATTTGTTTTACAAACTTTTTAAAAATAATTTAAACTTTTTTTTCATGCAAAACAAAATGTGAATTTGGTAGAGGACACAGTTACTAGCTCCCATTCATTTATTTGTTCTGTTCATTAATTTATGCAAACATCCCTTTAATTCATGATGAGCTTCACACTGAGCTATTTATAGTTCTGCTGATTGGGAGGCTGTGTAATAGGACATGCTGAAAAAACCCACCGAGCAACACAAGTGATTAATACAAACCCCAACAAACGGTTCGTTGCTTTTTTCCTTGTAGATGTTTAGTCATTTGTCCTCCTGAATTATCTCAACCTCATCTCAGACGTCTTGCATTTCTGCGCTTGAATCTATTCGACTCAACCTACATTTTAAGAGTTAAAATTGAGGACGAATCCCATGGTTCAGAGCTAAATTTAGTTTGTTAGATTTTCAGCTCAGCCCGGCGGGGGTTACACCACCCAGAGCATGGATGTGAGTTTGTCCTTTTTGCCTCTCTGACCCAGTCCTTCCAGGACAGCTCGGAGAACACTGACACTCTTAACTAAGCCTGAGGCAGGTGATGGAAAAATACAAGGGATGCTACAAAATGTGCTCAGAGGATCTAAATTGGGGGCAGCTAGTGAAAGTTGGCTGATGGGCTCTTTTTATTTACATTTCATCATTCATATTGCTCAGTTTTACCATAGCAAGGATTTTCTATTGTTAAGCACATTCATCAAATGTTGAAGGTTCTCATTTTGCTCAGCTATGTTACTAATATTTACCTAAACAGCAGTGGCAGCTAAAGTTTAGAGGCTGTAATTTCTCCTACTGTTTGACCTGGTAGAGTTAAAATTATGATGAAGCAGCTTACAGGATTTAAACTCAGAATTATGTATTTTTTTATTTAGTTTTTTTTAGGTATTTGAAACCAGATTTTCTGCTCTGTTGTATTTATTTTTTTACTCGTTTATTTCACCCTCAAACTAACTTGAATCATGTTTCCAGGATTCTAATGTTTTGTTCAAAAGTCAAAACACATGGCTGCAGTGCTTACAGCATATTTTAGCTAATTTATTATAAATCATATAAATGCAAATGAGCTGAAACTTGCTAAAACAACAGACTCTTCAGCTTTCAAGGGCATATGTGACGTCTCAGTTTCTTGTTTGGTGATGATTAGCATGATGTTGTGATAAAGTGGATGTAGTTAAAGCTGCTTCAGGATCTCTGTTTATTTATAGTCCATGTTATACACTCTGTTCAGTATTGACTGTGTTGTGGATTCACAACCGCTGATTGTGTTTTATGTTTTGGAAATGATCGTGTTGAGTGGAATTTTTATTTTGCTGCCAATCTTTATGGGGGTTTTTGGATATTTTTTCTGTAGTCGACATTTTAACAGTTGTCCTGATGTTTTACACAATGTAAATACAAATAAGATTTATTTAACTCCTGTCGCCACGATGGAGCATATGGCGAGACATCTGTGGAGGTCAAAGAAATTTGACTAACTTTTCTCACACTTGTCAGAAATGTACATTTTGCAACACAAATCCTCCAAAAGCTACACTGACATAAGTATTGTTGCTGTAGTCGGTGTAGCTGAAAATACTGTTGAGACAAATGCAGATTTTTCAGGCTACAGACGTGTGGTTTTTTTTGTTGTTTTTTTTACCTCATATTTCTCAGTTTTTACAGTTTTGGGGGGGTAAGAGTTCCCCTCTTTCTTGCTTGTCTTGCCTTCATTCAGAAAGAAAGGACACAATAGTCACTTATACATGACATAAATCATTTTGTACTACTCTTTACCTCCCTATTGACCCCTGCATGCCTCATCTAGCTACATCTGTAATTTGTCACTTTTTTGTTTTTACTAAACACTGTCGTGATGGATGTGGGTCCAAATATGGACCCTTAAAAGCCTAGTCAGAGGTAAGTTGCATTTTATGTTCGTGGTAGCGCAGGTGTTGTGTTTGTGTGTGAATGGGTGGAAATCATTTATGGTGGTGGCTTTGTAGTATTATTCCTACTGTTCATATTTTTGCTCTGTAGACTTATTTGCTTCCTTTTTTTTTTTTTTTTTAATTTAACAAACAATCCGCTGCAGTAAAGTTTAATTTGTTGTGGGATTCTCTGTTGATTTAGTTTGTAGATTTAAAGAGCCAAGAGAAAGAGAGCTGTATTTTCCCCACACAGACTGCACGTGCATGCAACAGCAAATATGAAGCGTAATTACAATCTGCTTAGCGTGCATGTTAAATATGATCCCCCTCTTATCAAAGTGAACTGATTGGTGACGGTTTCAGGCTATTGCATGCAGAGGATTATGTGCAGCACAACTTGCATGGTATATTCAGAATCATGCAGTGTATTTTCAGCTTTTTACACAAATTTGAATTTAAACAAAACAATTTTTGTTATCTCGCTGGGCTGCAACTGCTTGCCACTTTTTTTGGCGACTGGCGTTCAGGTAGGGGACTCCAAAATGTCTTGAAACAGTCACAGGCTCTAATTTAGGTTGCAGAATCGGTCTTTTTGCTTGAATTAATTTTTTTCTCAAAGTGGTCAGAGTTGTCGCAAGCATCTCAAACCCTTAACTCTCAAGTGTACTCAAGCAAATCAAAGCTTAAACACAAAGGCTAGTGGGTAGAAAGAGAGATGAGTATGATATAGTGCATTATAATAGTTTTTCAAGCTGTGTGCAAAACAAAAAGAAAGTTATTTTCAAAAATCTTCCTCTTGAATGTGAACGCACGAGTTACTTGGTTGCAAACGGTCAGAACTGAGTGGGACTGCAACTGAAAATCTGCTCATTATCTTGAATCTCAAGTCACGTTTGAGTCACCAACAGCAGAAGTCCAGCCACAAATTGTTTAGCACAAAGTTCATGCAGAGTGTTTTTCTAAACTGTGTGACCCAGACTGAATTTGTGTGTCACTACTTTTAAGTTGCTGTAATTGTCAAGAGCTATGAAAAGGAAGTTTTAGTACTTTTGGACACTTAAAAGGAATAATCTCAGCATAAGTGAGGATGATGCCAAGCTTTTTATTTTATATAGTTTACAGGTGATTTTATTTCAATGGATTAATTTGAACTTATGCTGAGTTAACTTTTTGTCCCTTTTTGTCACAGATGAGCATTAGTGGTGACAGAATCAGCACTGGTTACTGGAGTTGTAGTAGTTGTAGCTGTTGCAGCATTTTCACAATTTTCATTTTCATGATGTTCCTGATTTTTATTAATTTTTTATTCAAATGATCAAATTCTAAACGTAATGCTAGGGAAAACACCGTCTCTGAAATGGACAGTGTAATGTTAATTATTAACTATCAAATGTTGAATTATTTGTTGCTTTGATCACAGCTATCCAAATTCTTTCTTTTATGCACTACTACACCCAGATCTCTTCACCTACAGTTTAATTTATTCCAAGAGCAGCTGTGCATTTGTTGGCCTTTCTATCCTAGACATTCTGTGTCAAACTCAGGTTTTATAGCTGATAGAAAGCATTTTTCATTTTCTACTAGGGCTGAACGATTTTGGAAAATATTTCGAATTATGTTCATACGGAGTAAAACCTTCGAACAGTTCGGTCAGTGATCCCTGTCGGCTGCTACTTTGCTTACTTTACGTTGAAGCACTGGTCGTTGGCATTCTAGCCATGCGACTATTGTAAATGGCTTTGTGGTGGTTTTTTAAGTGTTGATAAAAATTTGTGGTGTTGCCTCGAGAGGTAGCAACAGCACCAAGGCAGGTTCTGCACAATGCATGTCATTGCGCAACGTCGTCTTTTTTTCATAGCCAAAATAATTCCAAACAACGGACGTGCTGCCGCTCTTTGGTACCAAACTTTCAGATGTGTCGGCTTCTGTTGAGCCTGACGCCATTGTGCAACCAGTTAAAACGCAGTGTTGACGTCTCCCGCTCCCTGCTCTGCTTTGCTCCGCTCACTCGCAGGTCACATAACCAGATCATGTGACCAGTCAAATTGCAACCGTTGTGATTAGAAACTCTCGTTTTATCATATTGCAATATTATTGCAAATGCAATTAATTGTTCAGCCCTATTTTCTACTAGTGTCAGAGCCTAGAGGTGTGCTTCGAATTATTGTTGAGCTGCATAATGTACTAAATTGGAGAAACTAAAAGGAAGTACAGCGTGACTGCAGTATTTGTTATCCATGTTTATTCCATGTCACTAACTTTGTCTTCATCATCACTAATCGTCCCCTTGCAATTCATTAAACGTGTGATGCACCGAGGAACTATCTCTTCACTCTGGTTTGGACTGAACATCTTGACTTTCTGTTTTGGTCATGTTTTCTTCAGTGTGGATGATCCTCGGCTCCCTTCAGTCTGTTTATGTCACAGAAACAAGAAGCTTAATATCTGTAACATGTTCAGTATTGGTGTTTTTTTATGCTACTTTGCTAACAAAATGAACACAGAAGCAGTAATGTAAAGCTCATAAATCAGCAAACGGGTTTTGTTTTTAATTTTAAGAAAATCTGACTTTTTAAGGAAGAAGAAATTACTGTAAATTATTTACAAGCTGGACAATTTGTTCAGAGCTCATCGAACCCATGTTTAAAACTTGACACACCTTGAGTTGGAATGAAAACATCAGTGGGTGGCTGAATGCTTTTGATGTTTCACCATCTGAGCTTTAGACATCTGTTTGGGTTGAGAGCAGGTTAAAATATTGATTTAGCTTTTTTTAATAACCATGAACATGAATCACAGTGACGGCTCTCTTTCTTTAAATAGAAACACTTGTCCGTGTTCTTCTGGCTGGAAACACAACAGGAAGCTAGGGGCTGTTCAGCTAATGAACTCATTTTCTGGTCCTCTCTGAATCAAACATGGCTTAACCTCCATGCTGAATTGTTATGGAGATAAAAAAAAATCCTATGATTTATTGTGCTGACTCCTGTAAATGGCAAACATGCAGCTGACTGATAGCCCATTGTAACTGCAGTTTTCATTACCTTTCCTCCTTTGACAGGTACAATAATAATCTTTTTAATTCAATGTCATTAAGTTCAGTTTATTTATATAGCGTCAAGTCACAACAGAAGTCGTCTCAGGGCTCTGTACATAAACATTCACATACATTATAAAAGCCGATTGGTAAAAGTTATCTATCTAAAGAAGCCAGCAGATTGTGTTGAATCTTCACTTTGTCGTGGTCTCCGATCCTGAGCAAGCACATCGGCAACAGTGGAAAGGAAAAACTCCCTTTTAACAGGAAGAAACCTCCAGCAGAACTAGGCTCAGGATATGCATCTACTTCAACCGGCAGGGATTTGAGAGAACGGGAAGGAGAAACAAACACAGGATGACGGGTCCAGGTGTACTTTCTATTGGAGGAAAGACAAAAAACACATAAGGATAGAAATAATGACAAATACAAACTACTAGATTAGAGCAAGTAAAGACAGCAGCAGAGTGAAGAAAGGTGGTCAGTTTGTCCTCCAGCAGTCTAAGCCTTTAAAGAGTGTGGTTGGGAAGGGATCTAGCAGTCATGAGGATGGTTTGGATGAAGCGATTATTTTTGACAATTCAGAAAGCTCAACAGGACAAAAACAGTCCAAACATAAATCAGGTTCTAGTAACATTTTTAAAGCTGCCTCATCTGACAGGGAATTGGAGGCAATAGTAGGAAGGATGGCTTGAATTTTCTCAATTTTATTTATAAAGAATCTCATGAAGTCATCACTACTTGTAGCTGTAACATGGGTCAACAGAGATGGGACTTTTCATTAGTCTAGCAATAGTACTGAACAGAAACCTGGGGTTTACTGGGATCTACTAAAGATGAATAATATTAATTTCTTGTTTTACAGAGGGCTATCTCCAAGTTAAATAAGTCTTCCATGTTAGTGGAGTGCCTTTTTTTTACCAGCTTTCTTGATGCCCGTTTTAAAGTACGTAACTCATAATTGAACCAAGGAGCCAGCTTCATCTGATTGCTTTCTTTTTCAGCGGAACAGTTTTTTATTAAGTGAAGTTTGCATTGAAGTTGTTAAATTATCAACAAGAACATCTACATCACTGCTCTCTATTGCATTACTCTGCAAGACAGAAGAAAACGACAATGGAAAAGATTCTTTGCATTTAGTGTTTTCTGATACACCTACTGTATAATGTATTTTACTCTCGGTGGCTGTGTAGTTAGTTAATGTAAACTCAAAGGTTATTGAAAAAAGCTCTAACTAAACTAATGGTTTAACTTTGACTAAATGACTGCAGTGTGCATGAGTCCAGCAAGCTATCCCTCCAGGAATTACCATTCCTTTAACGTCCTCGGAAATGGTTTATTACTCCCTAGAAGCTCCCGAATTGCAAAGTCCCACTTTCTCAATTTTCTCTGCTCAACAGTCTCCAGCTGATACTCTCTCTCCTTTTTCAAGCACAAGGTTTGACTCCTCTCCTCCTTCCTCTGTTGCTGCCTACAGAATTATCCAGAGCTATGTGCTGAGGGAGGAGTCAGGAGCCCTCTCATCAGAGGCTTCAGATATTAACAAGGCCCATCTCAGTCGGCGAGGCGGCATCATGGCGTCTCTGTACACCTCCCACCCAGCGGACAGCGGACTGACCCTGGACCTGTCACTGGAGATTAACAGGAAGCTGCAGGCCATGTTGGAGGACACACTGCTGAAGAACATTACTTTGAAGGTAAATTCTGCCCCCAGCTGGCATCAATCCTCTCTGGTGCTCTGCTATGAGTGCACAAAACCTGATTGAAATTCAATCAACGTTTGGATAATGTGAGCAGATTCCTTCAAGGCCTTTTACGTTGAAATAAGTGGAGCTCAAAGTGACCAGGTAATTTATATGTTGCATCCATGTCGTTCACAACCCTGGAACCTGTTGTGACATCACTGTCGCGATAAACAATGAATCAATTAATCGCATGATATATGAAAATTATCGACCTCATTTTCATTTACAGGCTTTATCGTTTCTTCATGTCTCTCTTTCTGAAGACACTGGATGACAAAAGGCTCAACTCTGGTGCTCTTCACTGACCCCTCCCTTTCTCTTTTCGCTTTAAAATCAATTTTAACTGCCCAAAATCACATTTTTGGATTGTTAAAAGCAGCTAAGCTGAGAAGCTAAGCTAACAGGCCGACCTTGAGGGGGAAAAAAACCTCCGTCTTGTCGAAGCTCCAAAATTCACAGTTGAAACTTGTGCCTTTGTGTAAAAAGTTTTTCTCTGCAAAAAGAAGCTGAGAACTTGTTTACTGATTTTTATTATTATTAAAAGCTTTGTGTGAGAAATGCTTTGCTAAAGAGCTCAAACCACACCGAGCATCTGCCATTTTGAGAACCGAAAAGAGACAGCCCATGTCACGTCAAGAGGCCTCCCTCCCATTTTTCTTAGCGACACACTGCTCGCGCTCTTACTATCCATCCTTCTGGTCAAACACTCTTATACTGCCATCCGGTGGTCAAAATTAACAAATTTATTCTTAAATTTGACATTAATTACCAGTAATTGTCAAATTTCAAACAATATTATCGTTTATCACAATAATTTCTGAGACCATTAATCGCCCAGCAAAATTTGTCATCGTGACAGGCCTAGTCACCGCAGCCCCTTTTCAAACACGAACGGTTTTCCATTAATCTGACAGCAACTGGACGTGTTAGAGTGGTGCCTGTATTACTCCACTGGTGCTTCTGTGGGACACCTTGCACCAGAAATTTAACCAGAAAAAGGATAAATGGACTTTGAACCTAACACAAGTGTGAACTGTTGCAGACATGCTTAGTAGAAGTGGGTTAATTTGACATGTTCAAAGAAGTCCATATAATAAAAACCAATGATAAGTCAGTCAGAGAGGTTTTATTGTCATTTCAGCTATGTCCAAGTACATATTGAAATGAAACGGTGTTCACCAGGATCACGGTGCAACATAGAACATAACATGCAAAACAAAACACATGGTGCAGATACACACTAGTAACTGCACTATTTAAAATTCTTCTCGTCTCTCCCATCAAAATGTGAGGTACATAAATGACTTTTGGAATCAGCCCATTTCAAGATGGCTGCCACAGCCAACTGATTTGTAAACTCAACTCGGTCAATTTTACAGATATTTGGCTAAAATGTAGTGTATTATTAGATGAGACCGTTTCAAACACAAACTACAAGTACTACAAAACTGAAAATCTTTGTTTAAAACTCCACTGTCAACCATTGGCATCAACCCTGTTTGTCTTGTTAGCAAAATATTGTTTGAACCACTGGGTGGGTTTTATTGAAACCCTCGTAAAGTAACCACTGGTTGTACAACTTTAATTTTTGCAGTCACTCTAATTCAAGATGACCACCACACCTAATCAATATCAGCAAATGCCAAAATAAATGTAAACGAGTCAGTTTTACAGATATTGAGCTAAAACTAGCTGTGGTAGTAGCTGATAGTCATTCACAACACACTCAGAATGTGATGGCTCCTAATATGGCATAAGATTGATTGTACATTACACTTTCAATGTTGGAACAAAACAGCAACAATTATTTCTAATCATATGGTAATAACTTAAATCTCAGTCATGATAGACATGCATTCCTTTATTGAATCCATCCATCCATCCATTGTCTTTCGCTTATCTGGGGTTAGGTTGCGGGGGTAGCAGCCTAAGTAGGGAGGCCCATACTTCTTTCTCCCCAGCTACTTGGGCCATTTCCTCTGGGGGAATCCCAAGGTGTTCCCAGGCCAGCCGAGAAACATAGTCCCTCCTGCGTGTCCTGGGTCTTCCTCTGGGTCTCCTCCCTGTGGGACGTGTCCAGAACACCTCACCAGGGAGGAGTCCAGGAGGCTTCCTAACCAGATGCCTGAGCCACCTCAACTGGCTCCTCTCAATATAGAGAAGCAGCGACTCTACTCTGAGTCCCTCCCAGATGACCGGGCTTCTCACCCTATCTCTAAGGGAGAGCCCAGACACCCTGCAGAGAAAACTCATTTCAGCCGCTTGTATCCGGGATCTCGTTCTTTCAGTCACAACCAAAGCTCATGACCATAGATGAGGGTAGGAACGTAGATCAACCGGTAAATTCAGAGCTTTACCTTTTGACTCCGCACTCTCTTCACCACGACAGACCAGTACAGCACCCGCTTCACTGCAGACGCCGCACCTATCCGCCTATCGATCGCTCGCTCCATTTTTCCCTCATTCGTGAAGAAGACCCCAAGATTCTTAAACTTTTCCACTTGGGGCAGGACCTCCTCCCAGACCTACACTCTACTCTTTTCTGGATCAAGACCATGGGAATGAATCCAAGGCCTTTAATTTGTTTCAGCATTTGACTCAAAGAAAAGCAAAACTTTGTTTAAAGGTGTTTAATCTGCAGTAGAGGATTTTTAACTGCTCCCACATGTTGTCATTTTTTGATATTTGGTGTTGATGCAGCTTCTCTTTGGACAAACATCCGAAAGAGAGTCATCAGATGGAGTGAGAGACCAACAGTTGTCTTGCAGTAGAGCAATTAAACTCTCAGACGTCGAACTGGTTAATAAACTTTAAAATGTTTTGAACAGCTGACACACAACAGTGAGAAAACGGTCTCTTTTTAGGGTCTTCAGGCTGCCTGACCCTTTAAGATGTTGTTTAATGACAAGTGTCACGCACCGTGTCGTTTTAAATCACTGTCACAGACTCAATGAAGTATGAGGAACATTAAAAGTGACCCATGTGTGAATGACTGAATGCTGTCACGTTCATAGATTGATGAAGCCATTAATATTTATATCTCATGTGTGAAAAGGACGAGTCGCGGTCGTTTAAAACTTCTTCAGTGTTTCGTCAAATCAAGACAAAAACGTCTCGGAGTTCTTGTTAGGGCGGATGATTCTCGGTTTGTTGTGTTCCAATATTTAGGTTTTTCAAACTGCAGCAGATTAGATGAACCGTTAGCAGTTCAGCTAAAATGCAGAGATGCACAAATGCTTGCAAAGCTGCGTTCAGCTGTTTTCACTGAGTTTCAGCTCGACGTGACCTGAACGAGCTTTTTTTTTTCTTTTACCTTTTAGGTCTGTTCTCATAAAGAAATTTGAACTCAGCTCTTTAGTTCTCACGCCCACCTGAGCCCAGGAGACTGCAGGATCTCTGGATGACTCTACATTAGCACTTGTCTGTATTCTGCTTATGCAGAATATTAATGTAGGGATTCTTTTTTAGTTCTATAGGCCCTGCAGAGTGGTTGTACTCATGCATCACAGCCAGCCTTGCTCTATTCACGAGTAATTTTCCTCAAAAAGTCCTTTAAGATAAAAAGTAAAGCTTCATGTTTGGCGTACAGATTCACTAATATTTTCAAATGGCTTTTTTTTTTTTTCTTCTTCTTCAGGCATCTTTGCCCTGTTTGATTTTTAATCCTGTTTAAACATTTAGGAGACATACACTGCAATGTTTTCCACTTTGAAACACATTTATGTTTATTCACATCTAAGTCTGCCACATTGGCTTGTTCTGTTTTATTAATTCTGCTCATTAAACAACCCACAAGGCCTCAATTATTAAACCCATTCTGACTATAAACCAGCAGGAGGGTTAACAAACCTACTAGTGTACCTTTTTGTTTTTCAGTAGATGCTGAATTAAATGTTTTAAATTATATTTATGTTAATCTGTTTATTTTTTAGAAATGAGGAAAAAGGGTTTAATTTTATTTCTGACTACCATTGTGAGGGGTTATGCAGGCCTATTATACTAAATTACATGCTAAGGCCCCAGTCACACTGGAACAGTTTCACTCGGTTCAAATGAAACATGGCTGGATCATGACAAATTTAGAAAACCTTCTTTAGCATGAAGGTAATCTCGACACTTCTGCAGTCCAATGACCACTTTTTGAGAAGCCTCTCCTGTGCTCTCAACAAGCTCCATTCATCAGCAGCATTTTCCCACCAAGATCCTCCCACATGAACCCATGACTTTCTCAAACCGTGTCTGGAGGAGGTATGCACAGAAAGATTACACCACAGTGGCAGGACGCTGATGACGTGTTGTAGCCCAGGCATGAGGCCAGTGTGGGTTGTTCCCCTCAGCACTAATGACGACCATTTAACATCCATTTAACATGGAGGATCTTTCTAGGGTGTTGGACAGGTCTACATGTGCACATTAAAAACACAACAGCTTTTCTACATCTTAGAGTGTGATGGAAACCACGTTTGTTTGAGCACACAGTGAGGTTGAGGCGGTGTAATGTGGTGGCAGCATATTATAATCCTGGGTGGGCGCCGGTGGAGGCAGCAGGGTTCACATGAGCCCGAGTAGTTTGTCATAAAGAGTTTGATGCAGATATGGATGAGTACAATAAAAAAGTTAAATCATGTCGTCTGGACAAGTTTCTTTTTTGGGAGAAACGTTTCATCTTTCATCCGAAAGGTTTGTTCAGATGACATGATTTAACCCTTTTTTTTTTTTTTTGTGATTTGGATGATTGAGCTGTTGAACCTTTTTTCTGAGGTGTCAGGGGTCCTCAGGCTGTTTCTGTGAGTAAGTTATGCATGGTGATTGATCGTTTTGGATGGATGGTCCACTTTTTTTACATGTGTAAAACTACCGGTAGTTTCTTTGGATTCCACAGAGGGCTGGCTTGAAACACCAAGGAGGTGCCATTTGTGAGACAGATCTGGGTTGGCAGGTCTCAGACTGATGAACTCTTTCAGATTAAAGATTAAAGGTTTCTCCCAGAAAAAGAAACTTATCCAGATGGCATGATTTAACCCTTTTTTGTGATTTATCTACCTGGATGATAGAGCTGTTTTGAAACAATGCTACAGGGTCACAGCAGGAAGGGATCTGAACAGAAAAGGCACGTTAAACCTGTAGTTTCAACTTTATATTTAAACTATTTTGATTTGAAAAGTCATTTGAACCTGTAACTATATAATCAAGTAATTTAACTAATTTAGATGTGTGATGTTACGACATGTTCTTGTGACTTCTTGAAACGCATACAGACGTCTTGTTTAGCCAAACCCTATAGACACACGGTGTCGGTCTTCAAAAACAAGCCATATACTGTAAATGATGTTAATGCTGCCACAATGTGTTTACTCCCAAATCTAGAACGCCACTGCTGACCTAACAGTCATGAAGGACAAGGTTGCATTTATTCACAAAAAGAGTTAAAAGGAATGCGTGAAATGGTCTAAATACCCCGCATCATGCATCTGCTACTACCACAGGCCCCTCACTCTGCTCACAAGCTCAAATGCTTCCACCAGGACAATAAACCTCCAGGTTAGAACTATCCAACATCCATTATGGCAGGGTCTTTGTGTGATGTGTGTGAAGGAGTCTTTAAAGGAAGACTCTAAAAATTACCTTTATATATTTGGAGTTGATGAGAAAAGTATTACCTCTTATGACCAAAACAGCTTTCAAGCAGCAGTTTAAATAATCCTCTTAAAACAGAATACCCCACTCCCCCCGTCTTCTGTCACACCCACACTTTCTGAACATGCCACCATCCTGTCTGCTCGTATTGTTGCAGCTTCCTTGATGTTTGACTCTGCTTCCTCAGTCTTTTTAAAAATCCTGTGGGCACATGCTCCGTTAAATATTTTCCCATGTTCCCATCCATTCGGCTTCCTATTGTGTCAAACTCTGTCTGTCAAACTTAAAGGGGGGGATCACAAATTGAGATAAAGTGCGAGCGGAGACGTTTTATTTCATTGAATGAACAACGATTGTCACAAAACAGGAAGTAACGATAGAAAACATAATAAAACGACATTACAAGAAAAGCTTCAACAAAGCCAAATCAAGACTTCAGTTATTCTGATGAATAATGGAGCTTTTCTTTTTTCTTTACAAGTAGTTTCTTCAGTCATGAAGAACAAAAAAACTCCTGTTCATTCTGTGTTAAAGAACTCCTGTAGCTCACGTTGCGCACGTTTTCTTTCCTTTTTGTTTCTCAGGACAATTTGCAGACTTTGGGAGCTGAGATTGAAAAACTCATAAAGGAGCAGAAGAATCCTGAAGATGGAGTCAGGACGAAGTGAAGCACAGATCCCAGCTGAGGACTTCCCCAGCCTAAACGTATGAAGGCGTAAACATGCTGCAAGAGCCAGAGGGATGTGAGATTTCCTGATTTCTGGTCCGGTCAGAGAAAGTCTCCAAGCTTACTTGAACTGTCACTGTCCCATCCACATCCCCGCTGTTACGACCCTTCTGGCTCACGTGTCTCCCCAAAGCATCTCCATGAGGACTTGCTGCTTTAAACTTGATCGTGGTGGCATCATCACATATGCGTTCGACCTTTCCCTGAATCATAGTTTCCAGGAAATCAATCTTAACGGAAGTAAAAGTACATATTTATAAATTGCCAACAAACTTTTTCTTCTGAAGTCCATGAATCGATGAGCCAAGTGTATATTTTTTTTTAAGGTTTGCTTCTGCAGATCCGCCCTGACTGGAGCGGAACATGTGTGCCACCGGTGCATTTCTTCCATCTGTTTATTTTTTTTGTTAATGTTTTTTTTTTTTTTTTTTTTCCCCGTTCGCCACAGCACTTATGACCGAGCCGATGGAGCAAGGTGCCTCCCATCAGCGGACTCGCCCATCTGTGGGGCACAGGTGCTAAAATTCAGGAAGCATTTCGGTAACATTCCCTGTAACCATCTGTGTGGGAAAACTCCTGCTCTTCAGCTACAACACGCCTGAATCAAGCTCGAGGGGATATATATAAATATAACATGAAGCAAAGGTTGGAATGTCGTGAGTTCTTCCAAAGTGAATGTAATTTTTGTTTCTCGTTTTGTTACATGCTTTTTATTTTACAATATTTGAGTTGTGTTTTTTATGAGCTTTTGTATGAGGAAATCACTTTTTTTTTTTTGGTCTTTGTTCTTAATTTATAATAGCAAATACCTTAAACATTTTAGGTCTTTTCTCACTGAAATCCATCCAAGTTTTTTAATGTCTTAAAACCTTTAAATCCATATTGAGACAAATTAATCGTTCAAAACTGGCAACAAGTAATCATTCATGTCTGTATACCATATTTTTCTGATTATAAGGTGCATTAATTGAAACAAAACGGTCAGATAAGTCAAACTTTATTCAACTTATTCACAATAAACGTATAAAATTGGTTTGAGGTCATTAAGCACAACCTGAATTAATACATAAGGTGCACCTGATTATGAGGTTCACTGTCGATTTTTGAGAAAATTAAAGGATTTGAAGTGTGCCTTATAGTCCAAAAAATACGGTACTTGAAATGTTAAGTAGGAAGATGCGGCAGCAGCTGCTACAACCAGCCCACTGTAACCCACATTTGAGTTTTTATAAGCGATTATGCTCTTTGTATATATTTTTTAAATGCACAAGTTCTCCTAAAGGTTGTGAAATACACGTTTAAGTTAAGCAACTATTTTTATATTAGACGTTTTTGTGCTGATCTTTAAAAAGATCCAGCTAGCTGATTTTCTACAACCTTTTGGTTTGGAATGTATTTTTCAAATAACAATAATTGCTTTAATAAACATGTTTAACAACACTTGGAAGAGCTTGTACACTGTAATATATATGAAAGAACATTCGTGCCTAAAACAAACTAAGTGCAGTAAGCTGGTTGTAATTGATTAAACTTTCAGATTTTTAAAAAGTGGCCAATTAATCAGTCTAGCTTTTTTTTGTTTTGTTTTTTAAGTCATTCCTTGTTTCAAGTTGTGGCCAGTATGAAGACTTTTTGTCCAAAATATGATTTTGTTAGAGCAGAGACTCGAATGTTGAGGTATTTTCATGCACTCCTCTTTATTCTGATTTCTGTTGTAGCATCACTGAGTCGTTCGAGGTTAATCAAGTGTAGACTAGTCAAAGGGAGAGCAGGAGATGAGTAGCTGTAGCTCAGGAATGCAAACAGAAATATATCCAGGGACAAAGTGCAATGCTCTTCCTTTTTTTTAATTTTCTTTTCTGAATGAATTGATGTGCCAGTATGCTGTATAGTTTTTTTTTTTTTATTGCTTGTCCATGCAACTGCAGAATATTTAAAACTGGATGTGTGCATGGCTGCATGTGCTTTCGTCCAACCGTACAGCTTTTCGTTTTTTACGCCTCGCTTCTGCCGTCCGTTGTCGATTCTGTTCCTTCCAACTTTATCAGATGCACGAAAACACCCGCAGCTCAGGACCGCCCGGCGATACATGACAGCACCCTCCCCTCAGCGGATGATTTGTAGTTTATCATTCAGGCTCTAAACACTGCAGCGTGGAAGGGAGCGCAGCCTCATTCCATCAGATTGCAGAAGCTGTCACAAAACCTAAGCCCCTCGTCCTTTTTTATTTATTTTTTTCTTCCTTTACCGGTTCATGATAGGCCCATCCCTTTACCATTCAGCTCGAGGCGATGCAGAAGTGGACCACTACGTGAATAAAGATGAAAGTATTGAGGTCACAAAGACCTTAAAACCTCTCCGCTGCAGCAGCGAGTGTGCTGCATTTGATTTAACTCGACTTTTATTACATCCAAGTTGACTTCTTTACATAAAATATCTGTTTTTAACTACAGGCAGCAAAACCTGGAGATCTTAATTCCCCTCATCATTTTGAAATTAAATTACCCTCTTTTCAGGGAAAAAAAAATCAAATTAACTTGAAATTTTGGTTCCTTTCTCGTGAAAATATGAGTCCTGTGTGTTTCTGGGTTGGTTTTGATGCAGACTCTTATACGATATCCTAATTAAGTCCCCGTGATTCTCTCATGCTCGTCTCCAGATTCCACCCAAACCAGAGTACTTGCTTATCCGAGACTTTCTGCAACCCCCCCCCCCCCACACACACACACACACACACCCTGAAATGAAGCCATGCAGCTTTGTGGAAATGAATGAATCAAACGTCATGAATGAAGAAACTGTTCAGTATGTGCCAGTGCCGATTTGTTTAAAAAAAATCCAAATGTCTGTTGTGCTGCTCTTGCTCCATTTTGTGAAATACTCAAACTGTGATGATGGTATGCATCTGTAGATAAGTCAGCCTGTAAAATGATTTTGTTTTTTTTTATTTAAAACAAACGATTCTGGATCATGTTTGTTCATGTTGTCGTTTCCAGGGAATTAAAGGAGTTGATTAACTTCATAATTGTGCTGCGTTCATTTTTTCATCTGGAAGGATGGAGTTGAATCTCATGTGGAAGTCATGGACACGGATAACCTCTCGCCCTGCTCAGCTCTTGGGTGCAGTTTTTTAAAGTGGTGTCAGCGGTGCTGGAGGTCGAGCACATGGCTGCACTCTGATGATTTAAAGCAGGGGGCTGCTTCCAAACTACAAAAAAAAAAGAACTTTCCCTCATCGCTACTTCTAGCAAAGGTTTTTAAAACATTCATGTGAAAACTTCACGGTTCTGCAAACCCCATTTTTGTTCTTTGTGAGTTTAAAAAAGCTACAAATCAGTTAAGATTTTATGTGAAGGAATATGGTATGAGCGATTTCTATCTTACCTGTTGTAGATGGCTCTGAACCAGGTCAGGTTGGAGAAATAGTAGAAATCTGACCCGACTGACAAGCTAACGTCTAATCCAAGTGGCTCCAAGACAAAAGTACATTACTGTCATTAACAGATGTATTTTTTTTTACATCTGTTTTGGTCTTGGCCCCAGTTGGATGAGCTGCTAGCTTGTCTAAACTGATAGTGGAGGTCTCTGCAGATCATCTGCACAGTAGGTGTGTCAGTCCTGAATGAGCAGGTTGGACTTGAGAAACCTGGCTGTTACTTTAAGCAGCTACAGAATGTATTAAAGCTCCCAGTGGCTGCAGACCCCTTAGAGCCCAGATGACCGTCAGCTGAAGGGTCCTGCTCAGATCCAGTGACTATTCTGGTTTATGACCATTTTGACCAGCTGACTGACGTAATAAAGCTGTGTCAATATTGAGGTCTGGGTGTGATCAATAGTCAGTAAATCTGCTCCGTATATTAAATTACAGGCTCTTGGAACCAGTATGTGATTTTGATTTTTAATGTCTATTGCATATTTAAGTTATCTCTTCACTTTATATTTAGATAATGCAACATGAAGACATCCACAATGACATTCTAAGTTTTAAAAATGACACTTAAGTCTTGGAAAAAAAAAAAAGAATGGATACTGAAATCTGTTTGCTCTTTAGCTGCTTATACTTGAGCCTTAGCAAATGTAACGCTCTTTAAATAATAAAAATTGATCAAGTTTGATGCACCCATTCATAGTGGACACTCCCACTTATCATGGGGATTACGCTCCAGACACCCTCATGATAGGTGAAAATCTGCTATATTTATTTTACTATATAAAAAAAAAAAAAAAAAAAAAATATATATATATATATAGATAGATAGATAAGGCTTTATAAACCCTTCCCACTCTCTTGCGTTGTTCTTAACGATGTTCTAAACTCTCTAAAACACTAAAAGAGCACAAAGAAAGAGAGCAGACAGACTGATGCTACAGTTGCTGAGTCAATCAGTGCCTCGGATACAGAGCACAATGCTCTGATTCAGTGGCCAACTGGCCATCAGAAGCACCAGGACATTTCCCGGTGGCCTGGCCCGCTCAGTGATCACCGAGAGGCTGGACTAAAGGCTCAGTTTGGGTTGTCCTTGGTTATTTTAAATAAACAATCCGTGCCGCTCGTGCAGCTCACCATTAGCTCTCACAGGCTAAACAGTAGCGATGGGGAATGACAGACACCCCCCCCCCCCCCCCCCACACACACACACACACACAGCTTTTTCTGAGGCTGTCGCAGCAGAGCAGAGAGACAACAGATTGTGTGGAGAATGGGAGGAAAATCTTTCAGCTATCAGGCTCCTCTCTTGTGGAACCAACTTCCAGTTTCTGTCCGTGAGGCTGACATATTGTCCAGTTTTAAGACTGAGATTAAGACTTTCCTTTTTGATAAATCCTGTAGTTAGAGTTGGCTTGTTATGCTGCCTTAAGCTTAGACTACTGGAGGACAAACTGACCTCATTTCCTTAAATTAATTGTTAAAATTGAATGGTTTTCATTTGATACTATTTCTATCTTAACATGTGATTCTTGACCTGCCATTGTGTATTTATTCCTCTCAAACCCAGCCGGTCGAAGCAGATGACCGCTTGTCCTGAGCCTGGTTCTGCTAAAGGTTTCTTCCTCATGAGGGAGTTTTTCCTTTCCACTGTCGCCTTCATGCTTGCTCAAGAGGAGAGTTCTGTGATGGAGTTAAACTCAAAGCAGTCTGCTCCTAAAATAAATAAACTGAATAAAATAAATAAACTGAACTGAATTGAATTGCCTGCCCCCTCTAGCCTGTAATGACTTGTGCTCGCGAGGGTTATATGTCCCCGCACTCATCTTTGTACGTCCATCTTTTCTCCGGTTTAGTTCATTTTTCTCCGGTTTACAATTTTACATTGAAAACCCTAAGAACATTGAGTCCGCCAAAGTTGAACTGCAAAGTATCAAGGAACTACTATACTCCTTAGAAATATCTAGAACAAGTAAGATATTCACTCTTCATGACCCACTTCTTAAAATATC